ATAATTTCCTGAAGCTTATCAGCAAAAGTTGGTGCTCCAACCGATTTGGATCGATTACATCTGACCCTTGGTTGTCATCAAGAATGGAAGATCAATATTCCATCTTATGCCAAGAGAGGTCAACAGCATTTTGCATGGAAACTGCCCTGCAGATGTGAAGCACAGCCATGCAGATTTAAGTTATGTGCTTGTCAAATCAACACAGGCTACAGCTTTACCCCTGCATGGATTTTTATTAGAAACTGTTTCAGTAATATAAGTCATGCCCAGAAGACAAAAACACATTTTCTGTCTCTTTTTTCCTATTTTTATTGTAAGTTACAACTTTAGAAGTATAATACCAGCACATGAATAAATATTGTTTTATATACCTCACTAGTGTTTGTAGCTTTAAATTCATTTTCAAGTTAAGAGAATATAATAAACTTTAAATGAGAGCTGGCAAATAGTAGTCCATTCATTAAAACACAGTTCAGAGTGGTGTATTAAGATATCACAAATCCATCGGAGTGATGCGAAAGAAACTCCAGTTTTCTGCCCAGAAAGCTGCATGAAATAAACTAGTTGAGGAAAATGTGGTGTCCAACCTTAGAAAGCAGTCTATGTGAGCTCTCCAGCAACGGTGCTAAAAACAACCTTGAGCTCTGGATTTTGAAATGGACCACTCTCTGTGTGCAGTCACTTTGGTAAATGTGAAATAAGATTGTTTGAATGTCTCTGATGCAGGACCATGTTACAGAGGACTTTCAACACTTTACTCATTCTTAATTTTGGGCTTTTATTTGCAATTTATATACTGTACCTTGAACACATTTAGACAAGAAAAAAAACAACAACAGGATAAAAATATTTCTATAACATAAGAAAAAAAGGCAAACAAAGTTGCCAATGTCAATTTCTTCAAACAGAATATAAAAACAGCAAAAGTTGACCAAAGTGCTTTACATCGTACAAAGTGCAGTCAGGTCATCTGGACAGTTTCTTGTTGTTGTTGAGACATTTTTTACTTCATCCAAAGGACTTCATCAGTTCAAAGAGCTGCAACAAGCTGTCCCACAAGTAGCACACGCACATAGTGGACTAAAGAGTTTGCTGGTGATAAGATGGTTTCTGGAGTCTGCCCTCTCCTCCGTCGATTCCTCTGAGGCAGCCATTGCCAAAGTGGTTCAAAACATCAAAGTTCATGCTCAATAATCCAGGTAGAAAATCCAACAAAGTTCAGTCAGGTCAGATTAACTTTTTTTGTTTTGTTTTGTTTTTGGGGACGTTTCGTCCTTCATCCAAAGGACTTCATCAGTCTGATGAACTTTGATGTTTTGAACCACTTTGGTTATGGCTGCCTCAAAGGAGTCAGCAGGGGGAGAGAGTGGGCCTCAGAAACCATCTTATCATCAGCAGACTGCTTGGTCCACTATGTGGGTGTGCTGCTTGTGGCTTTTCAGACTGATGAAGTCCTTTGGATGAAGGATGAAATGTGTCAAAAAAAGAAAGAAAGAAAGAAACCGTCCAGATGACCAGACTGAACTTTGACGCTTTACATCTTGTGCCACTAAGGAAATTCAAGAAAAGTAATACAACACACAACAACAAGAACAATCAGCTCTAACTGGTTCTCAAACTTTGCCATGGATCAAACACCAAGGAAAAAGATGTCTTGAGCAAAGTTTTAAAAGTCTCCACAGTTTCAGCGGTCTTTGAACGGTCAGGTAAACGATCTCACAGTTTTGGAGCAGAAACCACAAAAACACGATCACCTCTGGATTTCAGTTTGGATCTGGGTACATCGAAGAGAATCTGGTTGGTAGACCGTAATACTCTTATTGGAGTGAAGATGTTAAGAAGATCGCATAAATACAAAGTATGACGGGGACTGATCTTTTAAAACTTTAAAAACAAGCAATAAAATCTGAAAATCAATCTAGAAGTGGACAGGAAGCCACTGGAGAGAAGCCAGGATGGGGGTTATGTGTTCATATTTCCCAGCTTTTGTTGATAAGAAATTATCTAAATTAAAGTATTATATATTTTTTTCTACCAGCTTGTGATTAGAGTGAACCTTAGTCTCATAAGAAAGCTCCTCTCATCAGTTTTGTCAATAAATTGTGTCTGTATTTATAAAGAATCGGTAACCCAACCACTTTATCAGCATCTCTACATTTTCTAGTTGATGCTGAAGTGTAGCCAGTAATATGACTATTTGGACCTTGTTCAATAATTACAGTATATTATATATCAGTATATATTTTACTCTCTCTACTGATGTTTCAAGCTTAACTCTACTGAATATTGCATTGTGTAAATATTGCAAAAGTGTAGTTGTACTCCTTTGTATTTATTTATTTTAACCTTTAATTGGCATATTCAAGTTCATGATTAGGTTTTACATAAGGGAGTTATTCAACTGCCAACACTGTGAGATATCAAATAAATATTTTCATGCTTGGGCTGCCGTACCCTGTCACCTGCAGGAGTAACCATTGCAGACAGTATATAGGAATACATAAAAGTTCAATTTAACAGTTCAGTGACAGTTTCAGGGATGCTGTGAATTGTGAAATGACTGAAATCTCTCGTGAACTAAAGTGTTCAAAGTCATTATAGCATTACTGTAAAAGTACCTGAGTAAATATGTATTATTTACATTCTTGAACTGCCAGAGGATTACTAGATTTGGGAGTATTTTGACAAAAGATCATTTGGTACTTCTGAATCCATGAATGTCTTTTGCACTGAAGTAGAGAAACATTAGCGATGCCACTGATGGTGCTGACTGAGATTTGTTGTCGCCATCTTTCTACGTGGTACACCTCTCTGTGGTTTACATACAGTGACACCTCCCAAAATGTATTTTTTATTAGGAAGGCCTTGTGGGGGCCACTCAAAATCCTGGGGTTGCACACCAAACCCAAAAGCCATAAACCAGTTTAAGAAACTCTTTGATGCTGTTGCTGTAAAACTGTGATTTGAAAACTTTGGCATTATGAGAGTTAAGGAATTAACTCAATTTCTCATTTTACTGATAATATGACTGATTGTGTAA